CATGAGTATCAGGTGGCTGTTACAATGTTGGATGCAGAATCGGAGGTGGCAACAAATGACGCAGAAGTGGGACGCGTTTTAATTTTTGAGGCCGTTGAAACTGTGGGCCAAGGTGCCTATCATACACCAAGGCAGATTAAACAAGCCTGTGTGTCGACCGACAGTCCAGGAAAACCGCCAGATAGATTTGCCTGTCCCTTGTGTGTTTTTAGGAACCTTTTTATCGGGAGACAGTCCTGACATGAAACAAGCTAGGCCGCCAACTAGGTTCACGGCCAATTAGTATGGCCGTGAAACAAGCCAGGGTGAGACAATAGATGGCCAGCAAATGTGGATGGGGACTAACCAACCAGTAGAGCCACGACAGGCTGACGGGAATTTGCCGGCGGACAGATAAAATACGGCGAGATGCGAGTCACACAAGGCGGCGCAGGTGGTATTGACGGAATACGCACGTGGAAAAGGAGCACATACAACAAAAGCCTTGAGCATTAATATTTATTTACTGTAGATGTGTAGGCGAAACAACTAACCAAAACATCAGACGTACAATAAACTGGAGAAGACTCTTCTTTCATCTGACATTACAGCTGGGAATTTCATTTGAAAAGTCTTGAATCAGAGCATGCAGCATACTTTCAAGGATTTGATGAATGCGTGAGGTGTCACTGAACATGAGATGGTCTGAGTAAACTGTAAAACATTCTGGTCAGGCCATTGGTTATTCACGTGTGGCCAGCATTTTCCGTCTAAGAATAGGATGATATTAAAAATCTTTCTCGGATTTTTCTTATTATCCTGAACTACATAGGATTGTTTTATTGTTCTCATTGTTACAAATAAAGAGCTATCCTGTTAACCGGAACATTGAGTTACATTCTAATTTAAGTATAACTAGCCTGCCATCCTCGTTAACGTTTATTCATTTATATAAGAATATGGATCGCTGTCATCATGAAGTAAGTATTAAATCGTATTGTTGTGTTCATCTCTGCATATTGTCTGGCTATGATCATAGTTGACATACTTTCCTTCGTACCGCTGTGTGCACTAATCTTAGTCTCAATCCTAACCCTAGCCTTAGCAACTACTAATATCGCCTGGAAGTTAGCAGAATATCCTAAAGTATGGACACGTTAATTTGTTCATTTTTTACAATAGTAAGCAACAAAGCATGCATTTACGAGGACTTACCTTGGTTGACAACGATTTGGACTGCAAGCATTGCCTTCTCGCCACTCTAGCGCAGATCCCCGGTCATCCTGCCAGGGACCTGACTGCTGGACAAAGGGCGGTCGCCCTGACAAGTTCTGTTGGCGCCTTCGTCGCAATCGGTCTTTGACAACCTTAATATATCCCTTGTCATTACTTGTGGTGAAACGCTTCATCCCCGGTTCACCAATGTCGACCCCCAATGTTGCTCTCGTAGTAGTTATTGGACTGAATGGGGATCCATCTCAAAGGTAAATACGGGTGCGAATTTTGTAAGCAAACTTCAAATAGCAGCAGGGTACCGTACCCCATCAGCCAACACTGAGGGACTTACCGAAGATGAAGCATGGATTACCTCGAAACGTAAAAACTCCAAACCCTGGATGAGTTCACATTCACTCTAGCTAGATCCGTTTTTTTGCGCGTTGCAGCGTAGTTTAGGTCCTCCTCTATCGGAGCCGATAAAATTGCTTCCGTGATGTCCAACATTTTGAATAATTATACTAAATATGCCAGTTTTATTTCCTTCGAGGACAAAAGGTCATTTCTAGTCGTTAAGTTAAATATACATTGAGTATGCTATCACAATACTTACCCAAATACTTTAGTCGCAATGTACGGTACAGTATTCCGTGGCAAACTTTCCAATGTATTTCGCTACGTACGAATGATGATTTTGAACAAGGCAAAGATCACACATTGAGCAGAATGTATTGACGTC